AAAATTGTTGTAGTGCCATAGACCATCTAGCAAGTCTAGGCTTATCGATTTTCCACAGCCATTGAAGAGGCTTATGGTCAGACCTCACGGTAAAAGTTCGACCAATTGAGTATGGTCGAAACGCTAATATGAAATGAACGACAGCGAATCCTTCTAATTCATAGATTGGCCAATTTCGTTCAGCAGCTGTTAACCGACGGGATCCAAAACGAACAGGATGTAGGTTATGTAGATCAGTTACTTGCGTTAAACATGCCCCAATAGCAGTAGTAGAGGCATCGGTATCTAGCACATATGGCCAGCTCGGATGTGGATTTGTAGAGTAGGGCATTCTGTCAGAGCCTTTTGTAATTGGTGAAAAGCATTAAGTCTTTCAGTAGTCATCTTGAAAGTAGTATCTTTTTGAAGTAGTTCGTAGAGTGGTCCTGCAATTTCAGCAAAACCTTGTATGAAACTCCTGAAATACCCAACCATCCCTAAGAATCGACGGATGGTAGTGGCACCATGTGGAACCTTGATCGCATTAATAGCATTGATGGATTCGACAGGCGGAGTTAACTTCCCTGCCCTTGTATTGAAGCCTAGGAATTCAATCTCTTCTATGCCAAACTTACATTTGCCGACATTGACATGGGCACCAATTTCACATAGACGTTTCATCATGGCTTCAAAGTACTTAAGTAGTGCAAATTCATCGTCTGCATGAATGACAATATCATCAACATAAACAGCGATACCTTCAAGGTCGATTACGTTCAGGTAGAGCCATCGTGCTAGGGCAGACGTTCCATTCAACAGTCCAAATGGTACTCCAAGCCATTCCATTTGACCTAGTGGATTCCAGAAAGCTGTCCTGTGCCTGTCATCAGGATGGATTTTCGTCTGACCAAAGGAGTTCTTCAGGTCCATCACTACGAACAATTTTGAGTGTCCGAGTTGACGGATTATGGCAGCAGCGTCAGGAGCATTAAAAGGGTCTGATTTCGTAACCGCATTCAATGACCGAAAGTCTACACATAGTCGACTCGAACCATCTTTCTTTGCGGGAGAGTTTCACCCAGATTCTGTTTTAGGTCCGATAACATGTTGACATCAACAATACTTTGTGTAGTACTAAAGACATCAGCATAGGTAACCATCTCACCAGTAAACAATGGTAGTTGACCAACTTCATTTCGGACTTCGTCATTCTTGAAACAAATAGCAGCGCTCAAGGTTCGCATCCACGGATTACCAAGGATGTTCAATCTAGCGTCCTTCACAATGCAGAACTCCATCTCCACATTTCCCAAAGGTGAAATCACAATGTTCCGACCACTTCGCAAGAGCCTTGTATAAGGTTTAGCATCATTTCACCATCTTCATTCGGTTGCCATAAACATCGGTATTCCAACGGTAGTGTTTGTAGTTGTTGCCAACTGATGATGTTCTTGTCAGCACCAGGATCAACTAGACACGTCACATGCGTGTCGGCTATAACAAAACGTCCATACAAACCTCCGCTTTCTTGTTCAGACGCGACATTTACCCCACCTGCCATTGGTTCGTTCTTCTTAGCTGCGGCCTAAGCCTTCTGTTCTTTTACCCTATCGCATGAGTCGTTGAAGTATTTGGCTAAACTCTCCAACACAGCTAGGTTCGAAGTGTCTTCTTTCAAGTCCATGCTAATACCTTGTGGCGTGCCTGTGACCGTGATGTGTTGCGTAGCTAATTTTCCTTGACGTGTGGCCCTTCTTTCCACATACAGTACAGGAAGGCTTCGTAGGACAATCTCTTGAGGGGTGTTGTGAAGACTTACACCATCTGCATTGTCTGTTGTCTACACCCTTCGGTACTTGTGTGGTGCCTCGCGGCGTCTCGAGAACTTCGTCGCCCACCTCATAAAATCGTGGTTGAATCTCACGTCTTGGCGGATAGTTCGACGTTGGTGCCATATTTGTTTCTGGTCGCATGGGTACTACATTTGCGATCATATTTACCCTTTTAGCATTCCTTCGTTTTCTTCTTGCCAGGTCGTCGTTGCACTTTAGGATAAATTGAATAAATCTGTCCAAGTCCCATTCGCGCCAATCAGATCTCATAGCCTCAGCCTGTAACGCAGGGCATAGTTTATTCAATAGAGCTTGTTTCAGCTGATGGGATGCTTCCAACATATTCTTAACATATGGTACCGTTGTACGGTCTTCTCGAACCATATTACTAAATCTTCGGCATCTTCACGTTCTTCAACTTCACTCAAATCTTGCGCCACAACGTCAATCTCGTTGCTATACGGGTATAACTCTCTTGCTAGCTGATCTCTGAACGCTTGCCATACTTTGACTCGATAGATCTTCTTCTTGTTGGTCCGATACAACACATTGTCATCGGCCACACTCATGATCACTTGGGAGAGTCTATTGACATCGAATCCTTTTGCCCTCGTCAGACGTTCAAGAAGGTCGAGCTGATCGTCATATGCCTTCTCATGTCTTGGATAAAAGGATTCTTTTATGTTTAGTTCCTTGATTAGCCTTCTAGTCACATGATGGTCATCATGACTTTGCGTTCTTGAGTGTCTGGATGGACGTGGCGATCTTGCCACACTCGATCTTCTACTTGAATGACTTGAACTACTTGACTCATCGCTCTTGAGGGAGTCACCCGAGTCCGACTTGTCTCGTCACCCGAGGAAGAGTTATCAGGATCATTATCGTCAAGTCCAATCTTCGGGCCTCGTTCGGGCATAATCTTCGGTCCTTGGCGATCTTCATTCTTCGCTTGAAGCAGCACAGCGATCTTCTGCTGTAGTGTATTGGAAACCTTCAGCAGTGACTTCAGCTCTTCATCTGTAGTGGTGGCAGTAGTGTAGTGGTGCCTTCGAACTGGAGAAGGGTCGCTGGCGGGAGAACTTCGAATTGATCTTGACTCGCTTGGCATTTCAGATTCTATCTAATGCGGCATCGAGTCAATTCGCACTTCCCAGTCCCGCCCCCTCGCTGTGCGAGGACACAACGTAGCTCTATACACAAAAACTTATTCTTTTCTGGGCCATCACCCAGCTCCAGACTGACCCCGCCGACAGTCGACTACGACCTCCCATCCCTGTCCTTTGGTGGCTGGTTTACGCTCGATTCAGCCTTCCATTGTCCCTACTCGCTTGAGCCTCTTATCTCGTGCCTCATACCTTTCCTTACCACCCATTCCTACTTGCTACTGCTCCTCCCTCTCACCTCCACCGCAATCTACTGAATTGCTACCTCCTGTTCCGGGTTTGTTACCACTTCGCT